GGCCCTCCTTTTTCTCTAATTTTGGTCTGCAAACTTAGGTTGTTAACCCTCCAGAAGAGAAGTTTATTGTTATTACCATACAACTTAGGCTGTTAAGCTTAACCTCACTATCTGTCTGAATATCAAACATCTTAGACATAACATGGAGCAGGTATTTTTCACATGTACTATTGTATGTTGCTGTTTCTGTCTTTGTTTTTGATTTTTGTTCTTTTTTTACTTTTCAAAATAAAATAAAATTTAAAAAGTACTGTAAAAAAAAGTAACTAGATAACCACAGAGTAAAACAGTGAACCAAAAACACCTGTCCTCCTTCAGGTTGTGGGTATTAAGAGATATTGTCTCAGTAATGAAAAAGTGACTAAGTCACTGCTTGTCTAGCAAGGGTGGCTTCTAGTTTTTGAGTGATTTGTTTTCATTTGTTCTGTGTTTTTCTTAACTGTAGTTATTAAGAAGTGATTTTTTTGAAAAAAATGTATCTAGTTCTATTTATTGCCTATCACTTCAAATGCTTCTTAACTAGATTTACTACCTATGTTCTTTCTTTCTTTTTTTTTTTTTTCGGAACCGGTATTGAACTTGATGTTTCTTTTCTATGATGTATTTTGTACAACTACAAGATTAACATTGTTTGCAATGCAAACTTAATTTCTTTCTCAAACACCCCAGAGGCTTCTAGATTTCTAAATGATAAAATATAATTTCTGGGTTATTTTTCAAGTCCTTACATGCCATCCCTTTCAAAATTAAGCCTTAGAATGCCTCCCTAGAAGACTGTTGAAGCCGCAAAACTGCCTACTGCCACTAAAGCATGTTCTGATAGCCTTTAGCCTCTTTGTCTTCTACTCTTGGTTCACTTAACATATCAATGCAAATACTACATTTGCTTCCCTGTGAAACTGTCCTTTTAAATTTTCTGATCTTTTTTCTTTGCGGTACTGAGGATCAAACTCAGGATCTTGCACTTGGCAGGCAGGCGCTTATACCACTGAGCTATTTCTCTAGCTGTCTTTTTTAATTTTCTCATCCTGGGATGTTTCTGAACTCTTTCTATATTGTCCATCTAAGCTACTTGATTGATACTTTTTATAATTGACTTTTAAGAATTATCATACATGGACTCTGAATTGAATTTTCTGTATATATTTTATTCCTGGTGGAATATCGTGTGAGATATTACATCTTACAAGAGTTACTGATTTATTGCTTGATTAAGCTAGAGATAGAAGATTTGTAAAGGGAAATAATATATATTTAATAAAAATGTTTTATTTCATGTAGTATTCAATTTTTCTTTCCACTTTTTCTTGATTGAATAACATATCTATAAATGCATTTATAAAACAAATATTTGAAAGCTGAAATTTATGGCTTAGAGGTCTAAAAGTGGTGGAACTTCTGAAGAGCCCAAGCTGCAGATTTGTAAGATTAAATACATTTTATAATTAAACAATGGCTAGGACATAGCTCCTATGTGGAGAATGGGAATCAATGATCACCTATTTTGTGAGCTTTTCTTTACTCTTTTCCACCTTTTTATTGGACTTTCTTCTTTTACTTGCCTTTGCCTTTTCCTGGAACTTTCTTACCCTTGGCTTCTGGTTCGTTCTTTTCTTTGTCTTTTTCTTCATCATCTTTCTTGTTCTTAGCATCTTTTTTACCTGGAGTTGTCTTTGTATCTGTCTTTTCTTTTCCCTCCTTTCCTTTATCTTCAGATCCTTCTTTATCCGCCTTTTCTTGGGCTTTCTTTCCTTTTGGCATTTCTGCCTCACCTTTCTTCTCTTGAGCTTTCTTTCCTTTCGCTGCCTCTTCGTCACTTTTCTTCTCTTGGGCTTTCTTTCCTTTCGCTGCCTCTTCGTCACTTTTCTTCTCTTGGGCTTT